TAAACGTATTCACTGACTCTAATTTAGCTTTAGTTTGAATATTTGGTTAAAATAAATAAAATAGCGCTGTTAAGATTTGGCAGCATATTTAAGACGCAACGAGCACGGTCCCACTGGCATTTAAACCAGCAAAGACCATCATAGACATACTCGCTCAACAGGTATACTGGTAGATATCGTGTATTAAATTCTTCCAAACGCATACATCAACAGAGTTTTTAAGCACACTCATGGTATTTATTTAAGTATGTATGCATGTACGTCCGTGTGCACTCTTCACAATTTTGATTACACTACTAGATAGCGATTACCTGTTGAAACCCCAATAAAACGTGAATGAGAGAGGAGAAACTTTGCGTTTGTATTAGTGTCAAAGTGTGGTGATCTTAGCATTAACCAGTTTGGAGAGGTACAAAAACTGGCTACAATCGGGGTGAATTTATAAAAACATACGTCTTTATGTACATAGCAATATGTACTCGCATATACCCTGCAGAGGAAGAGAAAGACCCTATCATTTAACTATTGGTTGCCCAAAAAGTAATTGCGGATTTTTCATATATCGGCGTTGACAAATTTTTTCAACGGCTTGTGACTCTGTAATTGCATTCTTTCTTGTGTCAGTTATCAGCTGTTACTTTTAGCTTGCTTTAGAAAAAAAGTGCGCGAAATTTTGTTTACATTTGTTTGTTTGGCGTCAATTTTAATATGGAGCCCACAAAGGAGCATTTTCGTCATATTTTACTTTATTATTTCCGTAAAGGAAAAAACGCGGAGCAGGTTGCTAAAAAGTTACGAGATGTGTATGGTGATGAAGCCTTAAAAGGAAGACAGTGTCAAAATTGGTTTCGCAAATTCCGTTCTGGAGATTTTTCACTTAAAGATGAGCCACGTTCAGGTCGGCCAAATGAAGTTGATGATGACCAAATCAAAGCATTAATCGAATTGGATCGTCATGTAACTGAGCGTGAGATAGGAGAGAAGTTAAATATACCAAAATCAACCGTTCATTATCACATAAAAAGTCTTGGACTGGTGAAAAAGCTTGATATTTGGGTACCACATGTATTGAAAGAAATTCATTTAACACACCGAATCAACGCTTGTGATATGCACCTTAAACGCAATGAATTCGATCCGTTTTTAAAACGAATCGTAACTGGAGATGAAAAATGGATTGTTTACAACAACGTTAGTCGAAAACGATCATGGTCCAAGCATGGTGAACCAGCTCAAACCACTTCAAAGGCTGATATCCACCAAAAGAAGATTATGCTGTCTGTTTGGTGGGATTGGAAGGGTGTCGTATATTTTGAGCTGCTTCCAAGGAACCAAACGATTAATTCGGTTGTTTACTGTCAACAATTGGACAAATTGAATACATCCATCAATAAGAAGCGGCCAGAATTGGTCAATCGTAAAGGTGTCACATTCCACCAGGACAACGCTAGACCGCACACATCTTTGGTCACTCGCCAAAAACTGAGTGAGCTTGGCTGGGAACTTTTGATGCATCCACCATATAGCCCTGACCTTGCACCATCAGACTACCATTTATTTCGATCTTTGCAAAACTCCTTAAATGGTAAAACTTTCGGCAATGATGAGGCTATAAAATCGCACTTGGTTCAGTTTTCTGCAGATAAAGGCCAGAAGTTCTATGAGCGTGGAATACTAAATTTGCGAGGAAGATGGCAAAAGGTTATCGAACAAAATGGCAATTATATATTTGATTAAAGTTCATTCTAAGTTTTATTAAAAATGCATTTACTTTCTTTTAAAAAATCCGCAATTACTTTTTGTGCAACCCAATACAATTCGGCTATGTAGTTTGCATTTTGACTATTTAATTTATCTATTTATCTATAAATTGATTTAAAAAAAGTTGCTTATTCCAGTCACTAATCTCAGTCCCAACGGCAAAAACCTTTAGTCTCCTGCCTACCGAGTGAGGAAAGGGAAGAAAGTTGTCGACAAACTGCGCTCTCTGCTCTCCCTGTCCTGCTGTCCTGGTCCTGTTTTAGTTTTTTTAAATCAGACGGGGCGCCCCGTAAGTCTCCATTAAGTATTACGAAGGTATTGTCTCTGAAAGTGTTGTCAAATGCTTCAGCAGTTGGCCACCTGAACTAAGAGCGAAACGACAGCAGGGCATGAGTTATAATGAATTTTTTTGAACACTGCTCGTTTTAAACGAGTTGACTTTAGACTGACAAACAACTCTGTCGATATCGTCGCAGCCATCCGTTCAATGACAGAGGGTCCTCCGCAACTCTTAATATTTATCCCACATCGCTTTATAATCGAACGCAACGTAGCAAGGTAAGCAGTCTGTTTCTTTCCACAAGCGTTCGACGTTCCGAAACCAATTATTTCAATTAGGGAATTTGGGATGCCGTTCCACAGTTCCCTTATACCGAGTTATTAATGAGTGCTCTCAGAGAGTAGAAGTGTAAGTCGAGTAGAAAACCGCTCGCCCACGGTTGAGATTGCAGCTTCTCAATATCGAACTTTCTCAGTGTCGTTAACAAAATCTTTTTTTTTTTTTGATACACAAGTGCGTTGTTGGTGTTGTAGCGGTTTACTAGCCCCACTTAAAAGCAGGCAATATCAGTCGGCCCCATCGAGGCCACATAACGGGACGTTCAGGAAATTACCTGTTTTGACGGTTTCGGACCAGACGTGAAAGGAGGGTTAGTTCAGTCGGTTTAAGGGGCATGAAAGGAGGTGATTAGTGTCGTTGGGTATGTCGGGCTGTTAGCTGGGAATTTAGTCGACTACAATATCCAGATATTAGTTTCGCCAGTATTAGGCGGAGCTTATGAATCGACTCGAACTCTTCGTCTGCAATGGGTGGTGATTTGACTCCAAGAACGTCTTTCACTGGAAAGGGGGCTGAATACTCTCTTCTTGAGGTGATGGCTCAGCATCTAGTAAGTGTTTGAAGAGGTTTTCCTAACGGTAGTATCCCAGCAGATATTGCTTACACAGCGGTAGCATCCCAATAGGAACTGCTTGCACAGCAAAGCATTATGCTCCTTAACTCGTAGCATAGATGCTTCCCTGTGCAAGTGATGCTCCGGCGACATCAGGAGGTTTCCTGTCGCAGTCCTAAGGGCGGTGTTTTGGTAAGCCTGTAGCTTCTTCATCTGCGTCTCGTTCGTCCCCGGCGTCCAGATCGGTGCAGCATAGTTTACGACCGGCCGGCCAAGAGTGGGTAAAGGTGTTAAAAGCACTGCCGTGAAAACTTGGGGCGCAGTTGAGCGCTGATGCCACGTTACGTATAGGCTACATCTTATGTATTATATGGCCCGAAAAGGACTTAAGATGACTAAAGTCATATCTGGATGCATGTAACCGAAAGAGGAGAATAGTGGAGTAGTTTATGGTACAAGTCTGGATGTAAAGGGTTTGCAGCGATCTAGCTGCGAGATGTTGCGTTGATGCAATTAGTTCATCGACCCTTGGCCGAATGGGTCAACTCCGGCGCGGAGAACCGGCTGTCGTTGGAGTTGTAGGATGGGTTCGCAACTTCGCTGCGACAAGATAGTAACCCTAGTCCATGTGAAGTTCTTGGAAGTCTAGAAAACTGGAGACGTATCTTCCGTCAATCACATAATTTGGTTGCATGATTTTTGCGACAACCAAGTAACGTTTTGTGCAAAAAATAGCTTGAATTTCCCGAATGTTGTGCCAAAAATACCTTATGCGCCCAACCTGATTTTAATTCTCCAAGCGCAATTTTTGACGGCGTGTAGGGCCACCTCCATTTTAGGCACTCATAAAAAGAGTCTTTGGTCATATCGTCAATGGTCTAAACCAAAACCGGCCATGTGCCCAAACTCTACGGGTAGCACAGGACCTGTCAAAAGCTTTGACACGGTCAAGCATTCATGACTACTATCGGACATTAAGGAATGAATACCGCGGGGTTGATGGGGCTACGACGACCTTATCACTTCCTCACTGCAAGACAATTAAGACTGCAACCCACATAATCATTGGCAACCCTCTTCACTAGCTGAACGAAAGAGCACAGACTCGATATGAAAATCGGCAGCGTCAAAATTCCGACTATAAACAACGCAAAGCTAATAGGACTCACATTCGACAGTCTGCACTCCTTCACTTAGCATACGACCGCAATTTCCGCCAAACTCCACAGTCGCTACAAGATTCTCAAAGCGTTAGCCGGCATCACCTGGAATAAGCCATAAGCCTGCAAAAACACCGCCCTCAGGACCGTGATAGGACATCTTCTGATGTAGACTGACTTTCGCTTGCACAGCGAAGCGTACAACAACAGCGTTTAGACAGGCACTTAACGCCATTCAACATGCTTAACTGTAGAGCGTACAGATAGAAAACAATAACAACCATGTCAGCCTTGAAATCCAACTCAGAGTAAGGGTAAGGTTCTTTTTCGACGCAATAAACTAAAGGAATGGCTGAACGCTCCCCCTTATTATGAGGTACGGAAACGAAAGAAACGGTTTTGAAGAAGCTGTTTGAGTCGATTACCTACAATCTTGGGGGCAGAAGCCGCACAAGCCTAGCTATGGGTCGGGCTATAAGAAGATTTTCCATAGTTAATAATTTACAATACAATACCTGGATTCATCTGATGTTTCCAATAGACCGCAGACAAGAAGCAATAGAAATTATTGGAATGCTGTTGTTAAGTTGAAGATTGTCTCAGAAGAAATGTCTAATCGAACTAATGAAAACAAAACCCAGTCAAATTGAAGATGAGTTCAGTTCGCAGATTTCTTTAAATTTAATTTTTTCCTGCCTGGTGTCGATTTTAATGAAATCCACTCTCATGATCTGGGCTACGCTTATATTAAAAACTAAAATCGGATCGAATATATGTATGCCATTCCTTTTCGACTGGCTCCAGGACTAAAGCCTCAGTAATCCAGGCAACCAGAGCGGCCACTCAAATCTTCAAAGCGACCTTGATTTACCGGTATAAGTCAAAGTTGATAACCAACAGTAAGGCATGATAATATATATATATAATTTATTTATGTGCGAACGGTTATTAAAATAAAGCGTTGGTATAATACAGTAAAATATGAACGCAGTAATTTTTGCTATCGATTTTCAAGATTTCACAATATTATTTCATTCTTGAAGTTTCTTGATAATTCCTTGTGCGGCAAGACGATGCTGTTCAATAAAACTTTTTCAGAAGGCACTTGTACAAAACAGCCTAAAATAGACAAATGAAATCGAATGAAGTTTGCAAAATTTTATACAACAACATACATACAACTATTAGTGTTAGTGTTAGATTATATTTAAGTTAAGAATACATATGTATGTACATATGCATATTGGTAGTTGACCAACCAAAAAACTGACTTTCGAAATTAATTTAAAAACAAATCATATATATATATATATATATATATATGCATAAATACATATATAAGTATAATATTAACTTATTTCACAAAATTTTCTACTTACCCAAAATAGTAATGGACGGATTGAGCTTTCCTTCTTTGTTGAAAAGTGGTGGATTTTCCATTTTTGCAAACGGCTTATTTGGATCAGGATCAGACGGTGTTCCTTCAACTCTCGACCACTGTCCAATAACTGATCCTCTCCCCACTATTTTTGTAAATTGAGTGTAAGGATATATCAATATAAATAATGCCAAAAATAATTTTACTTACCAATGGAGTGTAACACTAAAGTATGATCTTTTATTACTGCGTTTTCCAGTATTATAGACTCTCGAATGCGAACACCGGGTCCGATGGTTACACCTGGTCCAATAGATACGTTTGGTCCTAACTAAATTAATTTTTTATGTATACAATTTTTTATGTACAATAAATAGATTGTCAAACTCACTGTTGCACTGTGGTGAATTGTAGCACTTGGATGTATATAAACATCGGGCAGAATTGTACAAATCAAATTAGAATCATTTTCACTGTATTTAGTTCCAGCATTTGCCAATCTCTCTGGATGAGTGTTTTTATATAGTTCTAAAAATGAGATTATTTAATATTTACAAATTTCAGAATTATGAAAGAGAAAGTGCAACATATGTATATGTATACCTAAATAATGCCTGTTGGCGTAAATGGCTGACCCAGCTGTTTTTAACTGCGACCACCAATTTGGAACCGGCATTGCGTAGAGTTTATTAGTACCAGCGAGAGGCGTAAGAACCTCCTGCTCCCATTGTATGTGTCCTTGATCTTTACCGTTAGTACCACCATTACTAAAACTTGGAGACGAATACTCTTGACCTTTTGAATAAAATACTTCTGCCAAATGGGAAAATATATCCATGGAGCACACATAGACACCACAATTAATAAAGGTTGATACATAAGAGCTAGGCTTTTCTACATAATGCGACACAACACCGCTATTACGATCAAATACTAAGCATCCATAATGCAGCGATTGCTGCCTTGTTGCCTCAGTGCTCATTATTGTCACCAGAGCCTTATCGATACGCTGCCTATGGAATGAATATAGATCTTGCAGTGGAAAATCAGCGCAAACATCGCCATTTAATATGAAAAATGCACTTGGATTTCCAGACCGTATTTGATCGCGAAAGTGGTACATGCCGCCTGCAGTGCCTAAAGAAGTAAATTCTTGCAAATATCTGTAAATTCACATTTGTTTAAATATTTAAAATAATGCTAGATCGTTTTCATATGAATACCTAATGTTGATGTTGTACAGATTTTGCATGTCAGTAACAAAATTTTCCATTTGTACTTGTGGATAATAACCAATTATAAGTATTTCTTTTAACTCTGGCACTCGCAGACATGCCTCTATGTGATGTTGTATGATAGGCCGTCCGGCTACAGGAAATAAAGGCTTGGGAGTATCCAACGAGAGGGGGCGAAATCTTGTACCTAAACATTTATTACAACTATAAGTAGTTCGTTTCCTCTACCTTCATATTATTCTTACCTTTTTGAGGACCTCCTATTAGGATAACCGCTTTAAGCATTATAAATTCCTTTTTCGTTTATATTCTATTTATGTGCTAAGTATTTGAGTATCCACTTGAAGTAAGACAGTTCTTACAAACTTGATTAACTCCTTTCAAAGTTGGGAGCCTAGTTGGCCTAGAAGAGAAGAGCCGTTCCTTATATTTTCTCCGGTGTTCAATTGTATTTATTTTAATCAGGAAATAGTAGAAAATTTTATTTACGTACGTGCAGTAATCCTTATCAGTAAAAAAACCTACGTGTTGTTCGCTTTCACAAAGCTACCAGCTTGTTCGAAAATAAAGCATTTAATCTCAGTGATTCAGTCATCGACGTATCGATTTTTGCTAAATACTCCTAGATTATTTCCCAAAATTTTACAAGTTCGATCACTGGATTGTTTTAATTACACTGTATTGTTACGATTTTACTAAATCAACCTCGATTATTTTCCGAATCCTTCGGGTACGATCTCTGGATTGTTAAATAAAA